CCCGCGCCGCGCCGGTCGTGGCCGCCAGGGAGGGCGTGGTGGTGGAGCTGGTGGTAGTGATGGTGGTGCCGGGGATAGTGGTTCTACTGAGGGGACTGCCGCAGCTAGTCAGGAGCAGCAGCCGTCACCCCAGCAGCAGGAGAAGCCGCAGCACCCGTCGCAGCAGTCGCAGTCATCGCCGCAGCTGTCCCAGCCCCAGCCGTGGGCTCGTCTCCCCCCGGGTTGGCCTGGCACCTCCGTAGGTGGTGGCCGTGGTGGCGGCCCGCGCAGCTTGGCGTCTACCGGCAGCTCCGTTGGTGTGACCTGCCAGTACCAGCTTCAGACCAGGCCTCTGCGCGGCACTCTGTGCCGCCGCCCGCACCCGACCGCCCGCTGTTTCCGCCGCCTCGACGATCTCTTTCGTCGTCGCTTTGGCCCGGCCCCGGACCTCCCCGACTAGCACAGCCTGCTTCGCCAGGGCGTGCCGATCTTTGAGTTAGATATGGATCAGATAAGTGCTGCTTTGCATGCCTTGTATGCTGACGCTTCTAGTGTTGCTGGATCTTATTACCCTGTGTACTCTAGTTCAGGCGTAGCACCCTTGTGTAGCTTAGCCTCCCCTGCTGCGTCAGGCGTAGGACTGCCTAGTTTGCCTAGCCTAGTTTATGCACCGGCTCCGTTCCCGGCCTCCGCTACTGCCTCACTGTCCTTCACTCTCGACACCGGTGCTTCTGCCTGCTTCTTTCGCGACCGCTCCACACTCACGCTGCTTGCTGCGCCTGCTGTTGTCACTCTCGCTGACCCCTCCGCGGGACCTGTCGTCGCTCGCAGCTCCACTTCCCTTCCTTGTCCAGCCGTTCCCTCGGGCTCTCTTACAGGCCTCCACGTTCCCTCCTTCTCCAGGAACCTGGTTGGTGTCGGCCGTCTTCAGGACCTCGGCATCACCACTACGTTCCCTGGGCACGAGCGGTTCACTGTCTGTACCGAGGCTGTCTCAGGTTCCCCCCTTGCGACGTTCCCCCTGGACTCGGTGTCCGGTCTGTTTACCCTCGACACCGCTTCCCCCCCGGTCGGTGCGTCCTCCTAGGTCACTGCAGCTTGCTCGTGTCGGTCCCTCACAAACCCGTCCCTTCTGTGGCACCACCGCTTAGGTCACCCTGCTCTCCCGCGCCTGCGTCACATGTCTCAGCACAGTCTTGTCTTAGGCCTCCCCGAGTCCCTCCCCGCACTTCCCTCCTCACCTGCGCCACCGTGCACACCTTGCGTCGAGGGCCGACTCCGCCGTGCCCCTCACTCCTCCTCGCTTCGCCCTGCTACTGCTCCCCTTCAGACCCTGCACCTGGACGTTTGGGGCCCAGCCCCCGTCCCCGGACCGCGCGGTGAGCGCTACTTTCTTGTGCTCGTCGACGACTACACGCGCTACACCATGGTGTTTCCCCTGGAGCGGAAGGCCGACGTGCCCGACGTTCTTCTCCCGTGGGTTGTAGCTGCGCGTCCTCACCGCGGTCTCCCTGTGCCGTGTCTCCACTCCAACCGTGGCGGCGAGTTCGCCTCTGGTCGGCTTGGATAGTTCTATCGTGCGGAGGGCATCACCCAGTCGTACACCTTGCCGGACTCGCCACAGCAGAATGGGGTTGCTGAGCGCCGCATCGGCTTGGTCATGGAGGTTGCTCGTACCTCCATGATTCACACCGATGTCCCCCATTTTCTGTGGCCGTTCGCTGTTCGCTATGCTGCTCGCCAGCTTAACTTGTGGCCACGCTCCCAGCGGCCGCAGGCTTCGCCGACCCTCCTTTGGACCGGGTCCCCCGGTGACGCGTCTCCGTTCCACGTCTGGGGCTGCCTTGCTCACGTTCGTGCCTCTGGCACGGACAAGCTCACTGCCCGCATTGTCCCCTGTGTCTTCCTTGGTTTCCCTCTGGACTCGTCTGACTGGCTCTTCTACCACCCGCAGTCTCACCGCTTCCTTCACTCTCGTGACGTCACCTTTGACGAGACTGTCTCCTTCTTCCGTCTCTTCCCTCACCGAGGTCTCCCGGTTCCCCCCCCCCTTGTTACTTGCTCCCTCTCTCCCGGTAGACCCTGCTCCCCTCCCGCCTCGTCCTGCCCCGTCTGGTGTCTCCCATGTCACTCCCCTCCCGTCGGTTTTCCCCGTTGAGGAGTCTGCTAAATCTGGTGGTCCCCTCGGCCCGTCTGTGCCGCGCCCCCCCTCCCCAGTGTCCCCCCCTCCGCTGTCACTGTCGCCGTCGCTGTTGCCGCTGTCGTCGCCGCCGCTACCGCCATCGCAGCCGCCGCCGCTGCCACCGCCGCCACCGCCGCTACCGCTCTTGGCCTCTGGGGGTGCTGGCGTTGAGGAGGGTGCTCGTCCTGCGGCCCCTGGCGTGGTCTGCTCCGGAGGGCCTGGGGGTGCCGCTGGTGCTGGAGGGAGTTCTCGCCCTGGGGGTGTTGGTTCTGGGGGTGCTGCCATTGGGTGTTCTCCCGGCGGTCGTCGTGCCCCTGCCGGTCCAAGGGTCGAGCACCAGCCGCTGCAGCAGCCGACGCAGCCGTCGCAGCCGGTCTCTGCTCTTCGCCTCCTCGGCCTTCCCTCTCCTGACCGCTCGCCGGTGTCTTCCCCACCACCTGCTCACCTTCCTGTCTACGACCCTGTGTTTCCGCCGCCAGACTCGTCTCCGGCCCGTCTTCCTCCTCGTTCCCCTTTTGTGTCTCCTCCGCTGTCTCCTGACCCTACACCTTCGTCCCACGTTTGGTCTCGCCGCCCCTCATGTGCTCGTCCCGTCTCCCTTGTCCTGCGCTCCCACCCTATGTTGCTCCGTTCTCACTCGTCTCGTCCTCCCCTCCTCCCGTCGCCTCCTCCCTCGTCGCTTGTTGTTGCACCTCCCCCGCTGTCTGAATTCCTCCGTGCTGCTCGTCCCCTTGTCCCTCGGGTTCTTGCCTCCCTTATGAGCGACTCGTCTGTTCCTGTCTCGCGCCTTGACGCGCTTGTCGCTGTTGTCGCTGACTTTGCCTCTACCCGCTGCCTTGACTACGCTACCGCTCTGGTCTCTGACCCTGCCCGTCCTCCGTCCGTCAGGGTTGCACCTGCCCTTGGCAGTGACGATCTAGAGGATAGGCAGTACGAGCTTGCTTTCCTTTCCGAGGCCGCTCCCCATCTCTGCTCCATGCTCCTAGTCCCAGAGGGTGACCCAGACGCCTTCGACATCCCGACCCCTCGCACCTACGCTAAGGCCACCTCGGGACCCTGGGCTTCTCAGTGGATAGCTGCCATGGAGCAGGAGATGGCATCTTGGAGGTCCACCGGCACTTACGTCGACGCAGTTCCCCCTCCTGGGGTGAACGTAGTCGATGGCCGCTGGCTCTTCAAGGTGAAGCGCCCCCCTGGAGAGCCGCCTGTCTTCAAGGTGCGCTACGTGGCTAGAGGTTTCAGCCAGCGCGAGGGCGTAGACTTCTTCCAGACCTTCGCCCCGACCCCGAAGATGACTACTCTTCGGGCGCTGCTATACGTAGCAGCACCGCGCGACTTCGAGCTGCACTCCCTCGACTTCTCTACTGCCTTTCTTCAGGGCAGCCTACACGAGCAGGTCTACCTGCGCCGACCACAGGGCTTCACTGGTACCTTCCCTCCTGGGACCCAGTGGCTTCTCAGGTGCCCGGTCTACGGCCTGCGTCAGGCTCCCCGCGAGTGGCATGACACGCTACGTGCCACGTTAGCAGACATGCAGTTCTTTCCGTCCTCTGCTGACCCTTCGCTGTTTGTGCGTTCTGGCCAGACTCCGTTCTACATCCTTGTCTACGTAGACCACCTGGTCTTCGCTACTGCTGACAAGGACGCACTGGCCTCCGTGAAGGCCGAGCTGCTGAAGAGACACACTTGCACTGACCTTGGAGAGCTGCGTCGCTATCTTGGCCTGCAGATCTCTAGAGACAGAGCAGCACGCAACATCACTCTGACATAGTCACACTTGGTGCGTCAGGTCCTTCAGAGGTTCGGTCTTCAGTTCGCCTCCGCACAGCCCACACCCCTACCTGTAGACCATGGGCTCTCTGCTCCCGTTCCTGAGGAGCCAGTAGAGCCCAGCGGCCCCTACGCAGAGCTGGTGGGCTGCCTCATGTACCTGATGAATTGCACTCGACCAGATCTCGCATACCCTCTCAGCATCCTGGCTCGCTTAGTGGCCACCGGCAGACACCGACCACAGCACTGGTCGGCCGCTAAGAGGGTTTTGCGATATCTAGCAAGTACATCGGGCATGGGGTTAGTGCTTGGAGGACGCAGGCCAGTGGTCCTTATTGGGCACACAGACGCTTCTTGGGCAGACGACGCTGGGACTCTCAGGTCGTCGCAGGGCTACTGTTTTAGACTTGGTTCGGGTGCTATCTCTTGGAGATCCACTCGCTCGTCGTCTGTTGCCCAGTCCAGCTGTGAGGCTGAGATCTACGCCGGTGCCATGGCGGCGCACGAGCTCTGCTGGCTGACCTTCTTGCTCACAGACTTAGGTGAGCGGCCTAGCTCTGCCCCGGTCCTGTACGCTGACAACAGGGCCATGATTCTCCTGTGTCAGGAGCCTCGACTTGAGGGCCGAGCGAAGCATATCCAGCTGCGGTACTTCCTCCTGCGCGAGCTACGGCAGCGTCGCCAGGCCCGCGTAGTTCACTTGGCCTCCGGTGCCAACACAGCTGATATCTTTACTAAGGCGCTTGCGCCTAAAGATCATCAGCGGCACTGTGTATAGCTTGGTCTCGTTCCTGTAGCAGCTCACTTGCTAGGACCTTGATTGTGTACTCCTCATTATATATACCTGTCTGACTAGCCTTGTGGCTTTACTCCCAGTGGCTGGATTAGTAGTGCCGCCCTGGCTTGCTTTTGTCTTGTCTGTACTCTTGCTGATTGGTCTTTGGACCCATGGCTCAGTGGTTGGACTAGTAGTGCCGCCTTGAGCTGTGTGCTTCCTGCGTGCACCACCCCTTCTCTAGCCTAGGGGGTGTGTCAACTTATACATGTCATGCGTGTAGAAGTTATAGGCTAGTATCGGTGTGTGCTCGTAGTGAGTACAACCCAACTGCTATATGTTCCCTGTTTCTCTTTCTAGTCACCATTCTCGTAATCTAACACCTGAAACACTCTTACCGTATACGAACTTGGCAATAACACACGGGGATAGGCTGAATAGATGCACAACCTGGGCTAGCAGAAATGGTAAAGTTCTCAAGGGGAAAACAGAATTGAGTGAAGCCTCCCACCATATTCTTACAGAACTCTAGTAGTACTTCGTTTTCTCCAACAACTGTTGCTGTGTTTCTTTTCTATTCAAAGCAGCCTCATCATCATCATCTGCTGTGCCGTCTCGGAATGAGACCCGTCTACCAGAGGCTCGCTTTGCAGACACGCACCTACTTTTTCTTGTGCTGCTTGAATCGCCTCTTGTGCTGTCCACTGCTGCCTGCTGATCCCCAGTTGCCCCCTCATCACCTGCCATGCTGTCGTTTCCTTCATCCCTGCAATCTGACTGCAACCTCTTCTGGCACATCAGGTGCTCCGGTGACCGCTGCCGGAGCGTTGACTGCGTGGGGGAAGCCTGGGAGGGCGATGGCCGCATGGCCGCACGTGACATAGATGCTGGTAGCTGTGCAGCAGCAGCAGCAGCAGCAGCAGCAGCACTAGGAGGAGAAAGAGGAGGAGTAGCAGTAGCAGTGGTGGCAGCAGCATTGTGGGTGATCAAGAGAGCCATGATGGAGCGCATGTCGCTGTGCACGCCCGCCATCATGCTGCGCACCTCGCTCTGCATGTCCGCCACCATGCCCCGCACCTCCTCCACCGCCAGCTGGCTGCGCACCACCTCCTCCTGCTCCGCAAGCACACCGGGGAGGGAGGGGGGGGAGCGTGGGGAAGGGGGAGAGGGGGGGGAGTGGGATAATCTGTGCTTGAAACACAAATGCAGGGCAGCGGTTTGCGCCTCCCCGTGCCAGGCTAAGCATAAATTCTCAGGTGCAGTATCTCCCGACTGCACCGCCCTCACCTACATGCCATGGCCGAACCGCCCCCACCTGGATCTGAGAGAGGCTGAGCTTCTGTACAGGCTTCTTAACAGGCAGTGCGGCCTGCTTCACGACCTCGCCGCACTGCAGCACCAGCGCCTGCGACAGCTGCTCCATGCCCGCATCCGCCTCCGTGCCTGCGTCGGCCTCACCCGCAGACGAGCAGACGGGCTCGCATGATGTGGCAGTGGCGGACTGGCGACCCCGGGATTGCTGGGGGAGGACGGGGAGAGAGAGGGAGGGAAAGTGTAGGAGAGAGAGGAAAGGAGGGGGAGAGAGGGAGAGCGCGTGAGGGGGAGGTCGGGAAAAGGGTGGAACGGGTGAGATAACGAGGTGAAGTCTCAAGGGGAGAACGATGTCAGCTTGGGGGGGTTGTGCTGGGCCGTGTCATGCAAAGTGCTGAGCTGAAACTTGTATTCGTCAGAATGGGTTGGTAGGGATATCATTTGGCATGGCGCTATGAACCTGAGGGATCATCATAAATGTCAGGATGCCCTTACATACATGTCAGCACATGGCATGTCACAACACATGCCACATGCCACATGGTACATGCCACATGGCACACGGCACATGGCACACGGCATATGGTACATGGCACATGGGACATGGCACATGGCACGCGGCACGCGGCACATGGCACATGGTACATGCCGCATGCAGAATACCACATGCCACGTGCCACAGTGTGCATGCGAATGAGAGACCATGTATGCACCACACGCACAGCACATCACGCACGCACCTCCCTGTCGTGGCGGCGCTGCAGGATGATGGAGAGCGAGATGGCATCGATGCGCTTCTCCTTCACCGTCAGCACGTGCTGCCGCCGCACCCGAGACTTGCTCGAGGAGGATTCAGGGAAGGCGGGGTGCAAGTCAGCGCGGGTGAAGTGCGATGACGCCCTCACGCCCCGCACAATGCTGCCGGACAACACCGACCCCACCCGCCGTTGGATCGACTTGTAGCGGCGCATCCGACGGTTTGCCTGAAAGCCACATGTTCGAATTGCAGAAAGTTTGATTACCGTGTCTGGGAGCAAGAGGTCAAACGAACCAGCAGCAACGATGCCGGCTGCAAATGCCACGATACATGATATGACTCAACCAAGAGAGCACTCACGTACAACAACCATCTCATCTCCAACCATCTCATCTACTAGGACGCACTCACTTCTTTCCATGAGACAGCTCCACAAGACTCGCACATCGGTTGTAAACCTGCAGTCGCTCGCCCTCATCAGCCAACCACCTTCTTAACCACTCACTCACCTCCACAACGCCAGCAACCTTATAAAGAGCACCAATTAAAAGCCACCTTCGGAACGCACCTCGTCTGCGCGGGTGTCCTTGGCACCGAGCTCCACCAGCTGATGCAGAATGCGGCGGTACGGCAGGTAGCGGCCGCGGCAGCAATTCCACTTGTACTTGGCGATGTGCGCGAGGTCAGCGGCTATGGAGGTGGCGACTGTGTTGGCGTCCTTGACGCTCATGAAGGCGTCGACGATGATGGCGATGAGGAAGTTGAGGAGGATGAAGACCATGAAGACAATGAACATGAAGAAGAAGAGCATGGCGGCGATCAGGTCCCACGACTCCAGGCGCTGGAAGAAGTAGGCCGAGGAGTTGTCGTTCAGCAGCAGCAGGAAGCACGAAAACATGGACGTCAGCACTGTGGAGAACTGGAGGAGAGGGGGAGGTGGAGATGAGCAAGGGAGGGGAATGTGCGACAAAAAGGAGTTGTGCTGAGCAGCAGCAGGAAGCACAAGAACATGGACGTTAGCACTGTGGAGAACTGCAGGGAGAGGAAGGGGAGGGGGGCGGGGGGGGGGGGGAGGGTGAGGTAGGCGAATGTGGGGAAAAAAGGAGTTGTAAAGAGCTACGTGACCGCAAACGCTCTGGCGGGGCAGCGTTTAGCGTTTAAACGCTGCGTTTAAACGCTAAACGCTAAACGCTCGCTAAAACGCTAAACGCTCGGGTAAAATTTTAGGGGCAGCCCGACGAAAAAATCGACCAATTTTTTTCCGCAACATTGCGACGTGGCGAATTCAACTAGACATTCATCAAGTCGCAAATCCCAACCTAGCGACCAAAAAACACATCCAACTCTTTTGCCCCGCTCAACCGCACAGCACCCTGTTAATCTACGACCACTCCAACCTAACCACTTTCTCCCCTTCTTCCATCACAATCTCTTCCCCATGAGAAACGGGAACCCTGGAGTTCCGCGCGCCATAGCCGTAGTTCAGATCTAGTCGTCATTCTCTCATCTCCCACGCCCACTCACCCTGGCCACCTAATTTCGCGCTAACTTAAGGGCCCACGCCCATGTCGACCCCCCCTAATGCTGCAGACGCTAATCCTACAGCGTCTGCAGCATCAAATATTTATGAGGCAGAGTCTAATCATGATACAATTTGGAGAAAAAATGTTGTGAACCATAATCCCCTTTCCTCCCCCTACCTATCCCAGGTTTTTTTACCCTGCCAGGGGAATTTTTTTCGGCTGCCCGAGAGTGCGTTTACCTTAGCGTTTAGAAACTCAAGCAGTCGCGTTTAGCGTTTAAACGCTAGCGTTTAAACGCTAGCGTTTAAACGATGCGTTTAAAACGCTAAACGCGTTTGCGGTCACGTAGGTAAAGAGGAGGCACAGCAATAAAAGTGCTTCTATCCCCAGGTGTTCTCTCGACTCTCCTAGGTAGACCCTAAGGACTTTCTTCTCCTAGAGCTGATTCTTGCATGAAGCACTTTCTTCTAACCCACACCACTCCTACCTCCAGGATCTCGGTCTAACATGGCTTTCAATTCAGGTAGTGCGTCAGCTATTTTGAGGTTTGTTGGGGCATATATGCCAGCCTTCGCTCTGCTACAAACCACATCATAAGACTATATAATTACAGCTTGCCTAGATAAAAGCCTGGGATCGAAGCACCTTCATGGATGCGCACGGGAAGCCACACTCACTTCCTGATCCACTTTCTAGGCACGGGAACACATATATGCACTCGGTGTACCACATACTTGCTCTGGAGGACACAGAAGTCCAGCTTTCCTGCTCTAGAGCACATGGACGCAGCGCATACCTGCTCTAGAGCACACAGAGGCACCGCATACCTACTTTAGAGCACACGAACGCACTGCATACCTGCTCTTGAGCACATGGACGCAGCGAATACCTGCTCTAGAGCGCCACCGTAGTTGAGGTAGCCATTTGTTTCTCATTGACTATGCGTACTCACGAGTGCAAGGATACATACCCCATTGCAAACAGACACACCACATAAATGCACCAATTCCTGCTCCAGCGAGCATGGATGTGCCCCCTACCTGCTCAATCGCGCCCCCAAAGACGAGGTAGGCGTACATGCTGAAGCAGAAGAAGACCGCGAAGGAAAGCAGGAAGAAGTGCAGCAGTGAGGGCGTGGCGAGGGCGAGCGAGCGCGTGATGACGCCCAAATAGGGCTGGAAGTCCATAAACTTGAGCAGCCGCACCATCATCACGAACAGGCTGGGGAAGGGGAGGGGGAAAGACAGGGTGGGGGGGGGCAAGGCAGATGGAGGGGGGAGACGAAGCAGCGGGTGGGAGAGGTGAATGGGTGAAGGAATGGGGAATGCGGAGTGTTGGTGTGAGGGAGGACAGCTGTCTCCCAAGTAGGGCTGACAGTGCATGATCTTGAGCAGGTGCACCATCATGACGACAGGCTGGGGGAAGGAGGGGAAGGAGCGAGGGGAGGAAGGGGCAGGAGAGGAAGGAGGGGAAGGAGAGGAAGGAAGGGAGCGAGGGGAGGGAGGGGAACGAGGGAAAGGAGAGGAAGAGGGGGAAGGAGGGGAATACAGGGGGAGGGAGGCAGAGGGACGGCTAGGGAGAGACGGATGAGCGAGGAGGAATGCCAAGTGATGACGTGCCAACTCAACACTTGTTGAGGGGCGTGTTCTCTCTAAGTGCACAGCTCATCGGATTCTTTTGACAGCACAGGCGGCTCACTCGATGTGGTGGAGGGCGAGGGCGGCTCACTTGATGCCTTGGAGGGCGAAGTAGACGGCTCTGAGGTTGATGATGTTGCGCAGGTCCAGGAAGGCCTGGGCGGCGCTGAGGAAGCCCGTGGGCGGGTTGGGCACAGCCCAGTAGCGCGGCATCTCCAGCAGCGTGTAGTAGATGTCGTAGCGCGGCTGCATGTCAAACGCCTCCACGTACCGCCACAGCACCATCCTGCATGCACGGCGCCACCAGGTTGGGGGGTGGAGGAGGAGAGTTGAAGATACAGGTGGGGGAGGGGATGGCGCTAGGGAAAAGGAAAAAAGGCATGAGGCAGAATGGTTTGAGAGGGTGTATGAGCAACAACAAACAGAGGAAGAGGACGGATAAGACAGCAGCGATGGTCGAAACTTTTGAAAAACACTGATTTGCCAAGCGATGGTCCATTTGGCGCTTACCAGATGACAATTGCAGAGATCTGCAAGGCCAAGGAGAGCATGTCGACCCAGTTCCACGCGCGGCCAAAGTAGCCCAGCACCGACCCCTCCAGGTGCGCATAGTCCAGCATCTCCTGCACCTCGCCGTACACATTCCACAGCAGCCCCACCACGTACAGCACCTCCAGCACCAGGCGCACGACGCTCTCGGTGGATGTGCCGTACATGTCCATGGCTGCTGGCTGCGACTTGAACACCACACCAATGCTGCCCCCAGCGCTCACACTGCAGCTCACGGTGGTGAGCACGAAGGTGCGTGCCTCGCCTGCCATGGTGGGAGGTGGAGCGGGAGAGAGAGGCAAGAGGCGTGGGTGGGGCGAGCGGAGCATGGGACGTGAGAACACTGGCAGCCTTGAGATGCATGAAGAAAGAGCTGTGCTGGGGGCATGACGCACACGGTGAGTTGTGATGAGGTAGTGAAAGGGAGCCAATGTGCAAGGGAGTAGACGGTGGGTTTCTGAGGCACATCAAAAGTAGACTTCTATCCTATGGGAGCTTGAAGCACGCGAAGTGTGGGTATCAAAGAGGCAGCCAATATGTAAGGGAGTGGCCGGCTCAGCCTAACAGAGCTAGCCGATATGAAAAAGAAAATTGAGAGTCTTCTAAAAAATGGACTCATCCGACCATCTACATCACCATACGGTGCTCCAGTACTCTTCACACCGGAATCGGACGATTGAGAATGTGCATCGACTACCGAGCTCTCAACAAGTAGGTCATCATAAAACAAATATCCCACTTCGCGGATAGATGACCAGCTTGACCTACATCAGAGAGCCACGGTATTCTCCAAACTAGATTGCAATACGGATACAGGCAGATAAGAATGGATGACAATTTCATTCACAAAACTGCCTTCCGAATTCATTACGGATCGTACGAATACCCTTCCAAGCTGAAATGAACCACATTCTACGACCATTGCTCGACGAGTACGTGGGTGAAGCGTAGCCACTACTGAGGTGGTGAAAAGAAACAGAAACAAATGTGTGACCCGTGAAGATACACATCCATGGACTACTGCTGAAAGAGGCCCTTTAGTATTGAAAGCGGCCTGTTATCATTGATAGCGGGCCATTACCGTTGAAAGTGATGAAGCTGACTTGGATGTTGCGCGTGCTGTTGTCAATGTAGCCCCCCTCTACCAGGTACTCCAAGCGCCGCGTGGCCGCATCGTTGTCGAGGTTGATGTCAAACACGAGCGGGAAGTGAGCCAACGACTCCTGCACCACCAAGGGAGGGGCGGGAAGGGTACAAGGGGGAATTCGCGCAATGGTGGCCAATCTAGCCCTAGAGCTAGGACTTACTGGACCCAAACCCTAGCCGTAACGGGTTACAACCTACAACTCCTTTAAAGCCCGAGTCTCATAGCGGGTTTCTAGGATCCGACCAAGTGTAAAATGCTTGGTACCCAATTACGTTGCTGAATATGAAGGGACAGGCTAGGAATTGCTTCAGACAGTGTGATATGAGCTGGTCCGATCCGACGGTTCAGGGACGAGAAGTCCGAATCGACTGCTGAAAACGAAGTGGAAAGTGGTTGTGAGGAAAGGTTGGATTCTGCACTGTGAGAGCAGGATATGTTTCTTATGAGACATAACTATTCTATATTTTCTAGGACACTATTGATTACCTAGAATACTCCTTTTAATCACTCAGAATATTTTATCCTAAGTGGTTATTGGATTATCCTCGGTTATCATAAGTGTATGTGTTATCTAGATTAACTGTTGCGTGCACCGATGCCTCGTGTAATTTTTCGATGCCGACCCGGGCGCAGGAAGCAGAACATAACGCGCTTTTAGAGGAGATACCACAGTTACGTGGCGAACTCGCTCAAGCGCGCCAAGCAGCAGCGACGACATCGCAGCAGTCGTCAACGAGCCAACCCAAGGCTCCTCGTTTTCGCGCACCTCAACCGTTCGACCACAGCGACAGATCATGTGGCGTTCGCAGCGACGCTCATGCGTGGCCGGGCTCTCGAATGGATCTTCAACAACAGTCAACATCTACAGTGCGAAGCCACGTGGAAGCAGTTTTGTGACGGACAACTTACTCATTTCAAGCCCGTACATTCGACCTACATCGCGCAGGAAAAAATTCATCGGCACCGACAATTTTCGAGTGTGGCGCAGTACACGCAGCAGAAGGAGCAGTTTTACGGGCGAATACACGACATTACGGACGGCGAAAAAACTCAATTTTAACTATCGGGACTGAAACCACACGTGCGACGACAAGTGGCGACATCCAACTTCAGTAACTACCACGACCTGGTCTCTGCCGCCGAACGATTCGACATGTTCCGGAGTCACGACACACAACGCTCGGGGGGACATGGCCCTCGAAACCACGACCGACACGAGCGCTCGGCTTTTCCCACGACAGCCGGCCCTGTCGAGATCGACTATAAGTAAACTTTACTTCAAAATGAAATCAATGGCTCTATGGCCATAAATTTTTTTCGAAAAGGACTCCAATTGAAGTAGAAACCTCTGGAAATGATTCCAGTGCCGGCAAACCTTTGGGGAAAATTAAAAGCGGTCGAAGCCACTCGACCCTCTGTCGAAGTCAATATCCTTTCACGGAACCAGCCTGCAACGCCACCACGGACCCCATGGGGAGTGGCTACGCGGCTGAAGAAGCTGAGGGGGAAGCTAGGGGTCCAAAGGAAGCTGCAACGACCTCAAACCCCACCTTCGACGTCGACACCAGTGGAGGTACGGACGCGTGCCAAACCTACACCAACCAACAGGCCAGGTGTGGATCCGCACATCCCACACCACTTGCCTGTCACATCCACTTAGGCATGAGCAAAACCGGGTAATTACCCGACCCGACCCGGTTTTGCTATACCCGACTTCGGGTCGGGTAATTTCGGGTCGGGTCCGGGTCGGGTAATATGCCCAGGACCCTTACCCGGACCCGGTTTTTTTAGGCGGGTATTTCATTACCCGCCAGGCGGGTCCGGGTATACCCGACCCGGCATAGCTCAAAGGCGGGTAATTCAATACCCGCCCTTTCATGAAGGCCTAAACAAGTTTTTTTTTTTACAAATTTAGTTTTATGTTGTTCGTCTAATTGTCTCCTAGGGTTGAGACAGCAACATGGTCATGGATAAATTTTTTCCCACGCATTTCAGGGGGTTTGTTGTCACCACCACGCTACACCTAACTTGATTGCTTGCACGGGGTTGGTATTCATTGGATGCAGAGGAACCTACTAAGAATAAAGTGCACACATTTCAATCTACCTATGTTCACAATCACTAAACAATCATTATGCCATGTCTGCATGGCCCTAGAGCTCAATGCTGGGTCCGGGCATGGCACAAGCAAGGACACGAATGTACGTCACAGGAAAAACTGTTCATAGGGGCTAACCCTGTACCCACGCCTCACAACCCCTCGTCGTCACCCTCAAGGCACAGCCCCCCCATGGCCCGATCCAACGTCGCCAGTGGGAGGCTGCCGTCGGCGCGCTGTGCCATCCATGACTTGAGAGTCATGGATGCACGCACCTGAGCAGTGCTCAGGCGGTGACGCTGCCAGGTGACCACGTTCCGCCCCTGGCTGAACGCCCGCTCGCTCGGTGCCGAGGTTGCAGGGATGGCAAGGTAGTCTCGTGCCATCGCCTGCAACCCCGGGTACGACGAGCGCGTGCGCCACCATTGCAGCGGACACCCGTCCATGTCCAAGCGCGCCTCCTGCAGGTACCTCTGAACCTCGTCCGGCGCGGCCACTCCCGTTCTCGCCTCAACCTCTGCCATTGCCGAGCCGAGCATGTCAAACAAGCGCCCCCCACCTCGGGCCCTGGCAACACTCCTCCCCCCCCGTCCCGCGCTCCACCTGTGCTCGTCCCCTCCTGGCCCCCGTCCACCGCACGCCTGCTCTGCTCGTCCAGGTAAGACTGCAAGCGCGCCCTGACCCATGTCACCACCTGCTCCAATGTGACGTCGCGCACCGCCTTACGCCCCCCAGCGGCCTCTCCCGCTAGCTCAGGGTGGGCCCCCTCCCACCGTTCGAGCTGGAAGTACAGCTGCTTGAACCTGGGATCCAAAAATGTCGCCACTGCCAGCTCCATGCTGATGCCGTACACATACTTCTTCAGTACCTTTAGAGCTGCCTCCGACAACAACTTGCACAGGTCCCCGGTACTTGTGTCGTGGTAGAGGCGCTCAAGCTCATCCATGAGCAGGTTGTACTGCGGCACCACTGCTGCGGCAGTGGGGTACAACGACCCCTCTGCCGCAGTAGTGATGTCATGGAAGGGCTTGAGGAATTCCACCAGAACCCTCAGAGCGTCCCAATGCGCGTCCGCGAGGCGGACACGCGCAGCCTGTTCGCGCGTCCGCTTGTCACGTGCCGACTGTGGAATGGGGGATTCAGAGGAACACGCAGTAGCAGAGGGGGAAACTCATATTTGGGGAGGGTAATACGCATGGGCGGACCTGGGAGACTGTCAGCATTTCCGAATGGAATAAAAACATGCACGCGAATTATGGCAACCCAGTAGATTGGGAACCATACCTCGAGTCCTGAGAAGTACAGCAGGATAGGATCTTTCAGCTTCAGGAAGCGCTCCACCATCTCAAAGGACGACCCCCACCGCGTAGGGGTGTCGCTGATGAGGCGGAGAACGTGGCCGCCCTGACCGGCCAGTCGCAGCTGCTCGTCCTCGAACGCGTCCGAGCGCGTAGTGCTCCACCCAATGAACGACGCAATCTCCCGCATACGCTTGAGCGGCTCGAGGACTGCTGGGACACCAAGTGCCTTCTGGACCGCGAGGTTCAGAATGTGCGCCAGACACCTGAAGGGGGAAAGTCCATTGCATGGCACGACATGGTATGGCATGGCATGGCATGGCATGGCATGGCATGGCATGGCATGGCATGGCATGTCAAGGCATGGCGTGGCATGGCATGGCATGGCATGGCATGTCATGGCATGTCATGGCATGTCATGTCATGTCAAGGCATGTCATGGCATGTCATGGCATGGCATGGCATGGCATGGCATGGCATGTCATGGCATGTCATGGCATGGCATGGCATGTCATGTCATGTCATGTCATATCAAGGCATGTCATGGCATGGCATGTCATGGCATGGCATGGCATGGCATGGCATGGCATGGCATGGCATGGCATGTCATGTCATGTCATGTCATGGCATGGCATGGCATGGGACGTCATGGCATGGCATGGGACGTCATGGCATGTCATGCACCACACACCTGAAGAAGAATCCGGGGTTCAACACTGGTGGGTTGCGGGCGTCCTCGGTCTCCGGGTCGCCAGTCAGTATCTTGAGCGCCTTGATGTTGTTCTCGGCATTGTCCGTCGTGATGCCCAGCACAGAGTCCTTCAGCCCCCAATCCAGTATGACTTTCTCCAATGTCTCTGCAATCAGCACCCCGGTGTGCGATCCCTGAATCTCCTCAAACTCTAGCAGCGCCTGACGCAGCTGAAAGTCTGTCGTGATCCAGTGCGCTGTGACGGCAAGGAAAGCATCTTGCGCCGGGCTGGACCAAATGTCCGTGGTGAGGGAGACCTTCCCTGCCGCACCATCGCCGACAATGTCCTGCAGCTGGCGCTCACGCGCGGCTTCGCTCTGCACGAGCATGTCGCGAGCGAGGCGGAAACGGGAGCCGAGCATTTCTGCAGCGGGAGGATTGAGGAGGCGGGTGTAGCGGCGGAACTGGGGAAGGGAGGGCAGGGGAGGGGGAGGGGGGAGTAGGTGGACGTGTGCAGAAGTGCCGCTATACATGGTCGGGGTGGTAATCCATAACGACACATGGGAGGTTGAAAATGCGCAGATGTGAACGAGCGCATGTGCTTAGAAACTTGTCTCTGTCAGTTCTTACCGAGGGGCGGTCGACCAGGCGAAACGGAAGGGCCGCGTCTGCGAACAGCTCGATGAGAGCGTGGCGCAGACGCTCCTGCGTGACGCGACGACCGAAGAACTGAGGGATCTGCCGTTGACCCGCATCGACACTCGCACCTGAACCGCCCGTGCCCGCACTCTGGAGGTCAGGGTATGCGTCAGCGTGCTCCCACGGGTCTGGTCCGCCTGGAACCCCCGGGTACCCCTTCGCCGGAAACTCCAACCCCGGCTGCTTGTTGGGATCAGTGAATAGGCGATACCAGATCTGTAGGTGAGGCATGTGGAACGAGCGCATGTGCTTCCACGCCGAACCAGTGCTGCTCTCACCCCAACCGATCG